GTGTGTGTGTGTGTGTGTGTGTGTGTGTGTGTGTGTGTGTGTGTGTGCACACTGAATCCGTTTTCACAGAACATATCACAGGGTTTGCTAGAGCTGCTATTAATAGGTACTAGTGGAATGACATAAGAGGAGAGAACGCATCAAAAGAAAACTGGTATTGATCAAACAGAAATGTAATTTAGACCTTTTAAAGTACAATTAACTCGGTAGAATAACCTCAGAACGGTCTTGAAATTCTAATTTGCCAACTCTTTTTTTTTTTTTTTTTCTACTTATCTTTGCTCCCTGTCTGTCTCACAGTGGAGCCGAAAGTCTACGTGTCTGCAGGTTCGTCTGCTTTGCTCGACGGTGGCAACGATACTGTGGTGGCCACTTGTATTGCTGAGCGAGCCCGGCCCCCTGCTGAGGTGTCCTGGGAGTCCAACCTTTTTGGACAGTCCGAAGTGCAGCTATTTGACGAAACCAACGGCACAACCAGCACGCAAGTGAGCTACCTCTGGCAGCCCACACGTCACGTCCAGGGCCAATCACTCACCTGTGTCGTCCGCCACCCGGCCCTGCAGAGTGACTTCAGGATCCCCTACCAACTCAATGTGCAGTGTGAGTGCACATTAAAGAGGGGCCTTAAGGGGCCTTATAGTAAATATGCTGATTGATCGTGATTCGTTCCTGCTGTAAGACTTTCATTATGAAGTGAGTGTATTTTAGAGAGCAGTACAGTCTGCACTGTAAAATGTGTGTGGGGGGGGTTTCGGTCCAAGAGAAAACTCCCATCTGTCAATTGAAAGGGGGCAAGTATAGCAGTGATTTCCTTGCTCCCTTCCTTTACTTTCCTTGAACAGTCAAACACTGTATTTAGCAGAAAGTAAAGGCGGACAATCTAAAAAGTAAAGGCATCTGATTTCCAACAGCATTCAGTTGATGTTGCTTGGCCTTGTCAGTGTTGATGTTTGATTTATTTGAAGCACTTCAACAGCAATTCACTTTTGAAAACGGCTGAATTGACAGAGATTAAATCAAGGACAATCCATGCAAGCTTCCTACTGGTATTAATTATGGTTTAAGAAAGGCTGTGGTGGTTTCCTTGATTTTCTTCTTTTTTTCAAAATCTGTTTTTCTCTCTTTATTTTTCTATGTCGGTGTGTTCCCCTAAAGTGTCAAAAGTAGAAATGTTTGCCCCCATAGATGTTCGAGCACATATCTGTACTTTGTGGGGCACTAATGGGTCTCTGTGCAGCAGCTGCAAATAGACCGGTGAAAGGAGTCAAATTAGTTCCGTTAAAAAACTATAACTTATAGCCCAGAAAAAAAGCACCGCCAAACATTTTGTTGATGACTGTCAAAAAAACCAATGATAACTGACCCCACAGTTGGGGAATAGTGTTGATGATTTGGTTTGAAATTGTGAAAACAGTCATTACCGTTTGCTTCTCTGTACACTGTACTATGTTTTTGACTTCATAGATTATTAAAACACACAATGCATATTTGGAGGAAACGGGCTCATGTCTCGAGGCCATGATTGGCCTCAGACTCCATATAAGGCTACACACAAACCAGGCAAACGGTCATCTTGCATGTTTGCTGATGTAAAGCAGTGTTTGAGCCAGAACTATTAGTACAACAGCAGAAATATTTTTAATATATGAAAATTGACCTTGACGTATACCAGGTACCTTGTTACGGTTAAACGCTATGATTGAACAGCGAGCAGGAACAGTTTTTTCAGGTTGTTTGTTATGTTTGTAGTGAAATCTCAAATATTTGTTTCCCCCCCTCTCTTTAGTTGCTCCTGATATCTCTGTTGTGGGCTATGATGGAGACTGGTATGTTGGTCTGGAAAATGTTCAAATGACGTGCAAAGCCAACGCAAACCCACCGGCTAATCACTTCAGATGGATCAGGTGTGTGTGTCTGTTTGTATGACACTTTCCTTTTCCCTGTTGTTTTTCTTCTCCGAAAGTATTGAAGTATTAATTGATGAGTCTTATTATTATTATTAATAATGATAATACAAATAATGATGATAGCTATATTTATAGAGCTCTTTTTATTCAACAGTTTTAGCTTAAAGTGCTTTACAAAAAAAAAAGCAACACATTCAAACAAGGGCAGATAGACAATGAATTTAGATGTAAAATATGTAAGTGAAATAAAAAACAGATTAATAAAATGAAAATGAATAAGAATAAGGACATTCATTATAATCTAAATTGAAGACTGAAATGTTGGCTTTCCTTTGCCAATATTTTAAAATATCTTTGTCACATGTGCATGTTTATTGTAGGTGTGTCTTCGTGTGTCTAAACATCTGTGTCTCTTGTGCATCATAGATTGGACAGTGAAATGCAAGAAGGGGTGGAAATAATGAACAGCACTTTGCTCTTCCTGCGTCCCCTCCAGCGGAATGACTCTGGAGTTTACAGGTGCGAGGTTGCCAATGACATCAACCTCCGCAGCCGGGATGTGCGCATTCTCATACAAGGTGAGCGAGAGCGTGCGCGCAGCTGACTCCTGCTGCCTTCTCTTCCCATAGGAATCACTGTGCTTGCACGCACGTCACAGAGGGTATCACTGCCTGTGACATTGTCCTTCAAGCTGAAATGTGACACTGCATCACTCTCACCCATTCTGTACATACTGACAGTCGACCAAGCATTCACTCACTCAAATTGTGTTGGCACTGATAATATTTGACCTTTACATTTAGTCCTAATTGCATGCTGATTAACATTAAGTCTCCAGATGTTCAAAAGGGGAGGTCCTGGGCCAAACAGCTGCACATATTTAAGGCCTCTTTAGACCACAGAGCACTGCCCCTGCTCTGTCTTCTTGGCTTGGCTTCTAAGTATGTCTCTCTTTTGTGTATGATGAGCATGCCCCTCTGGTTTCACAAAATCTGTCTTGTCTGTGGGAAGCGCTCTTCCTGAATGAAGTTCTGATTATGATGTGATCTTCTTTTACATCTCTCTTGCTTCCTTTTCTGTGTTTCTTTTATTTCTGCATGTGTCATGCGGTAAGAGGCAAAAGCCTGCAGCCTTACTGTGAGATGATGTCCCAGATTCATAAAACATTAACTGGATCTTTTCAACTCCTATTTATTATTTATCATCCATATTTCATTTTCCTTTGAGAGGACCTGTACGGGTGTGCGCAAGCTCACACATGTTGGTGTACCCTTCGTTGTATGTGTTGCATGTTGTCGGTTCACTGCCTCCGCATGGAGTTGTACAATTCACATACTTGGAGGCTACAATCCTTCGGGTTTGTGTCATCTCTCATCTGGCCAGCCAGATCTGGCTGGCCTAGCACCGTCTTTATAGTGGCAGAGCCATTTTGCAGCACCATTAAAACTTTTAGACCCAAATTCTTTCCATTACTTTAGCTCCTTCTGATTGTGGCTGTTGGCTTTTCTGTGATTTGGAGGCATCACCCTTATCCAGTACAGTTTAAGTTTGGTGTTCGAATGATTGCATGTTCTAATTGCATATTCTCAGGCGATTTAATCATGAAATATACAAAATACTTTGTAAATGTACTTTAAAATTGGTATCACAACATAGTCAGGAAATTACAGGAAATGGTTTGCGTTTCTATCTAATGTCCCACTAATGTCTAGTGGGATTTATCTTGGGAGAATCATAGACACTACTATGGTGTTTCTTATCATTTTGCTGTTTATTTTATCTAGTGCAGTGACCGTTCAGAGCGCGTGCCCGTCCAGAACTGGTCGATTGCCCCAGAAGTGCTGCTTGAAATGTTGTTGAGAACCGCGGCATAGCTGCTTGCACATGTCAAGTGTGAAGTTGATTAGATGAGTGGTTCTCGAGATATGCAAAGGGCGGTCATACATATAAAAAAACACAGAGAATCCTTCCTTTTATAGTCAGATTATGCTGCTATAGCGCCACCGATTGGCCAAATGGCACCAAGATGGGACATTTTCTTCAATATAAGTCCTGCCTACAGCATTTGTGCTTAATTCGAGGGTCAGTAATAGCAGAACAATCGAAGAAAACATAAAAAATAAAGAGTAGCTTTATCTGGCTTGGTCCAGAGATGGTCTTTGCCAAATTTGGTGACAATTGCTCAAAATTAGTTGGAAGAGTAGCAAAAAATCTGATTCAGACACCTTTCAAAATGGCGGAAAATCAATCTATATGCAAATGGGCGTGGCTTATATGGATAGATTCATCTGGACCCACAAAATCCAATGAAAGGGATTTAGTTTCTGAGAGTTACGGTTCAAAAGGTCCTTGGGTCCCCAGCAATTCAATACTTGCACAATGTAATTAGATGTAGATCCTCTTTACGAACTGCATGGCTGTTAACTTCCTGTCAACCCTAAAGTAACGTTATCTTCCATTTCAAACACATCGCACATGTCCCAAAAACGGAACAGACGAGACAAATATATACATTCCTTTATTTATGGCATTATGTTGCACTACATTGCCAATAGAGACAGGAAACAATATGAAGGGGCGGTACAGGTGTGACTGTCTGACAATGGCCTTTCAAGGGACACCTGCCATAAGGAAACGGTATATGCCAGTGGAACTAGTCAGCAATTGCAGCTGAAGCATAGTGGCATACCATCAGACACTTTTCGATCTGCGCGGCACTGCCAATGTTAGCCTGATTTTCACAGCTTTAACATCAGGTCGCCATGCCTCAGGATAAGCTGGAAAGGAGTGAAAGCTCCCGGAGGAGAACATAAACTGATAAAGAGTAAAACCCTGTTGAGCTGACTGCACTCCTCGTAAAGTTAACGGTGCTCTCCTTTATTTTAGGAGGCAACAAGGCTGGCTGACTGGCTAACCTTCTTATTTAAAGACGCTGAGGTGATTATCAAAATGATAAAACACTACTGTAAATACAATATGTACAAAGCTAACTGTGAAAAAGCCCTGTGTCACTGGAGGCGAATGTAACGTTACTGTAGAGTTGACGGAAAGTAAACAGACGGGCAGTTTGTGAAACGGATATACGTCCCACTGCTTTGTGCAAGTAGAGAATACACCTGCCTAACGTCAAGTAGATCGGATGAACTGTCCTCGAGATATAAAGACACACAGACGGAGAGATTCTTTGCGTTATGGTTCGATGGAAGCGCTGTTCCTAATATTCCAATTGTGTCAGCTCATTTTCCCAAATAAATGTTCATGTTTTACTTCCCAATCATTGTTTAATCATCCGAGTATTCACAATGCTCTGAGGAATTGGCAATGCAAACCGTAGGCTGCTGCGAGCATGTGCTCCTTAGTTTAGTATGTATGGTGGTTGAGTTGATGGTAGTGATCCCTACTTAGTAAAATGCTGATGTAGTTGGCATTGACATTCTCTGCTTTTCTGTCTCTTCATCTCTCCCCTCTACTCCCCCCCCCTCACCCTCCTTCCCTCCATTAGATCCTCCCACCATGCCTTCCACCATTACTGCTCCTGTCCTAACTGGCTCTGCCTCCTCCACCTTAGTCGATGATAAGGGGCATGTTCTTCTCAGCTCCCCCACGCGTGAAGCCCTACCTGAGAGTAATCTTGGCTCCATAGTGGGTGGGGCTGTGGGCGGGGCCTTGTTTCTGCTACTGCTGCTGTCTCTGGTTGGCGTGTATTACCTACGGAAGCCGCAAACCTTCCACGGGAACTACTACACCAAACAGTACCTGGGCCCCAATGACCTCCAGAAGGCCCCCACGCAGCATGAGCTCCACCCTACGAAAGCCGGGAGCAGCGCCCACCTTCAGGACCACGACCGAGAGGAGTGGGGGGACCGCCAGCTCAAACGTGAGCGTGATCGCCGTCGCCATAGCAACTACAACGGCGAGGAGTACCCCTCTAATGGCTACACTAGGGCAATGAGGGAGAGCAGTCATCCCAGCAATCAGCAGAATCCCCAACGTGAACACACGCAGTATTCTAGTCCACGGCAGGCCAGATGTGCCAGATACCCTCATTCACCGAAACCACAGAGAAACGGCCCCCCCCACCTGTCAGACGACTGCTACGATAATGGGCCCGAGGGGGATTACGTCTCTCACACAGACGGGTCTGTCATCTCACGGAGGGAGTGGTACGTTTGACAAGCTCCCCCGGTCACCGCAGGAGCAGAGAAACAACGGAAATCCCAAGGTTTCATTGAATTAAGAAGAAGCACATTATTTCTGTTCTGTTCGCACAGGCACACTTCTATCTAATCTCAGTTCTGTAGTTCTCTCGTTTGGTTCAAGTTTCCTGGTCGACACTTGAGACACAATGTGTCTGTTCTTGGTGTGGGCAGACTGTGGACTCGACAGACTGGACTGCACAACCACTTTGACGGTCAACATCTACATGCCTAAAGTCAGCGTGTCACTAGACTAACTAAAGATCAGGATGTATGTGCGCTCTCTGCCTTACTACATGGACTGCCAATGTGTTTACTTATGTCTTTCAGTTGAGTTGAAGCCCCGGGGGCTTGCAGACCACACGTGGTTGTGGTAGAAGGATGATTTTTTTGTTTTTGTTTCCGCAAAATCAGCCTTCTCAGGCTATATGTCACTTGCCCATTTTGTATGTGTTGATTTTGCTTACACTGATTCATTAAGACGACCTCTGACCTCTGAATATGAATGGCTGATATTCACGAATGGTACAGAACCCATGACTGGAAGTAATTCCATGAAATTCAAAGGATCACAGGTCCCTTTTTTCTAAAACTCAGTAGGACACAGTAAAGACATATAGGCTAATTAAACAAAAAGGTTTATCCCACTGAGAAATCAGAATAACTTCACAGCTGATGACCTCTCCACACTGATTTATAATCACAAAATATATTGCACTGCCTTTTGCAAAACTTTGTAACGGACGACCACGTCATTTGTTTTCTACCAGAAATGTCGACCCGTTATGTAACTTACCATGATGGGAGACTTGTGAGCTTGAGGACTTGACCACCGATGTCCTAATAATGTCCTTTTAACACTGATGGCTCAGAGTGGGAACCTTAAGAGCATTTCTACTGTATATCCTCGGGAGGGCAAGCAGGGATGTCTGCATGAACGAGGCACAGCTCACCGTAACAACAGACTGGATTTATCAAACAGTCGAGCCTTGAGATGCAAATAAGCTCCAACATTCTGCAAGATTTGTGTGTTTTATTGATTCGGGGAAGAGTTTCTGGCTGGTTGTCTTCTTGATTTAGCCTCAAACACATTCTCCTGTTATCTACCATATGGTAATGGATGTGTTTTGAGAGTTTGCACTCTGGCACCAACCCAGGCCTCTTGGAAAATTCAAGAGTGCTATCAGCGTGGGGTATTGTTGAACGCAGGCCACAGTATGGCAGGCACCATACGCTGGCCTCCCAGCCACAATGTATTTCGTTGCACAAAGAAGTCATTCAAGAGTGCCGCCAGTACGCCCGACCACAAATAACCACCGACGGACTAATTTCACTCCTCTGAGTAATCCATAGAAAAATACACGACTGCGACACAATCCCAATCTGAGGCATTATTGTTGCTTATCCATGTGTGCAACTGCACACTCCAGTCATGTTCACTAGTTGGTGTTTTTGTAAATTAAGCATTTATTATTATTACTACCAGTATTACTACAGTCAAATACACATTATAAAGACAAATCAGGTCATCTGGGATGGATGTGCTGTCACTGTCGCTCGTGGTTATCAAAGCCACAGCACAGTGCTTCCTCGCCAGATGGGACAAAAAATATTTTGTTGCACGTTCATTCATCATTATCCTTTCTAAAATAATACACCCTATGCCTTTTTTTTTTTTTTTTTTCTTCTCTAAACGGGATTTGCGGCTGGATTTATTCATTTGTTACCAGACACATTTATTGCTAATCAAGACTCTCCCACGTTGCAGGCACACCAAGTACTGTGAGTGAAGTGAGGAGAAAGTGTTTGAAATGTCCATGTCATCGTCGGGCTATGGAGCCCCAGTAGTTCAGGTGTCAAACTTGCAGAAAGCCATTATCGATTTAAATATGAATTTCAGTTTTTGTACTTTACACGCAGTCAAATTATTTTGGCACATGCACCTATTTACCAGACAGCATGGAGGAGATCCAACAGTTTCTTTCATGCGCACTAGTGTTTGTGAATACATGCCAACTTTAGTAGTATGGCCACTTATTCCATATTTGGTGCTAGATGCCAAATATTTGTTTAACTTGTGTATGTATAAATATGACGACAGTCTCACATAGGTATTGCTGACTAGCTAAAAACTGATTATAAGCTTATATAAATGAGTATCACTGTTGTATACAGGGTCGTGTAGCCGGAAATAGAAGTGAAAAGATGCTTTAGGCCACTTTAATATAATACAGTAACAGTTGTCAAAATGGGAATTAGTTATATTGTTATGAACCCTCACTAATTATTTGTCAGGATGTGAATTTTGTGCGGCGAATAGGCTGCAATTCTCCTCGTGGGATTTGATAATGTGTCACTGTAACTCGCTAGCAGAGATGACCCGCATACTGCAGTTCATGTTGTTTAAACTCATTTCAAACGCTGTGCAGTACACCAGAGCTCATTTATTCCCATGGACAGAAGCTTCCTGTTCTAATAAGTAGCTAGGTTTTAGTTGACTCCAATTACTTTAACACAATTCCTCACTTACAGAAAGGTTTGCTATATGTCGCCAAAAGCACCGGATAATCTATCGAACACGCTCTTTCTTTGCTAGAATGTAGTTCCAATGATGAAACGTTTACAGTGTGGATCACCCAAAGTAACTCCAACAATGTTTCTGTCCAGTGATGCTGCGGTAAAATGTCTTTTAATGCAATGTTTCAATGTCATGACCTCCTTCCACCTTCATCGTATTGGTGTGGAGGTCGAAGTCTGAGAAAATCTCAAAACTGTATGCATTATTAGATACCACCACATGTAAGTGAGATTTTTTTTTTTTTTTTGGGTGAACTGACCCTTTTAATGGGAGTGGCCAAAAATAAGTGTTCAGTTGGCGATTTGTGAACCACAAAACCTCATTTAGATGAATTCAAAGTGAGGTTTTGGGGGCGTCTGTGCTGCTGACGCCTCTCTGGTCACATAAATGCAGAGAATAACAGGAAGCACGGCAGCGTAACTCCTTCTTGTGTTTGCTTCTATGCACTAAGAAGGAAATTCTAATCAATAGACTATTTTTTGCTTGACTTGTCATTTTTCAGCCCTCGCCTGGATAAATGAAGTTCTTTTGTACTGTGACATGTATTTGTATAAAGATCAGTCCTCAGTATCTTTACCTTGATAAACGTCCTTCACTATGGGTTGAGAAATAAAACTAGTGCCTTAGATACCTAGAAGAAGAAATGTGTTCTCTTATCATTGTTTACTTATGGATTTAAGAACTTGTGTTGTTGCTCTGTGAGATTTATTTCTTGCCTTTTTGTTTTCTGCTTACTGTGTGTTAGGAGGACTCCGTAGTGCCATATTCACTTCTCTGCCCCAGTCACCGTGTTAATGACGTAGTATATTTGCAAACCCGGAGACGTTAATGCACACGAAAGGACAAAAGCTTGAATGCATTTTTGATGTAAAATTAGCGAGAGCATCTCGACTTCAGTTTTCCGTCGGGGGTTTTGGTTTCTGTTGATTCACTGTTGTTCCACAGCCGAGGTGAAAAATGAACTTCAGTCTCGCATTGTCAATGAAAAGCACCTTGTGGTCGTGTTTTTTGTTTTTTTTTGTATATACAGAAGAAAATGTAAGTCTCTGGAAGGGACAAAAAAAAATATTTATGTCAGCGACTACAGTGGAGCATTATTTTGTCAATCTTTTTGAGATATTTTAGTTCAATAAAGCACCTTAGCACCTGCGAGTTATTCTCTCTGGAGGTTTTTGAGCTTGCCGTTACTCAGACTGCTCGGTCTCAGCCTCTTTGTGCTTCTATAAATGACATCATCTCTAGCTCCCTCGTGCTGCGTACCCCTCCTCCCGCCCCCCAACCCAATGTGCACATGTGGGAGTTGCATGATGTAATCCAAAATCCCGTTTCCTCACTTCACCTCGTCTTCATCACACTTTTTAATACCACAGAATTCTGGAGCGAGGGGAGACCCGGCACCTCCTCTGACCTCCTCACCGCTCATCGTTTGCTTCGTTTCAGGACGGAAAGGCCCTCTTCGCTCTCCCCTACAGCTCGTCTCCTTTTGTGAACCCACTCCCCCCCCCATGTCTTTTTTAAACGCCGAGTGTTTATGTCTGGCCCAAAGTCCCCACTCACCAGCCCATTGACTGTCCCCATGGCAACAAGCTCATCCGGAGCTGCTGATGGAGGCTGTCTTCCTGCGAGCTCTACCTGGCCACAGAAAGCAAAGGGATGCGGGGGGGGGGGGGAGAGCTGAGAGTTAAAGTGTGCTGCTGTGTAAGGCAGAGCAGGAAAGAGAGAATTAGCGACTGGAATTGAGAATTGCCCCGTACGCCCCGCTTTCACCGCAGACAGCTCTTCTGGCTAGAAGGGCGTACGCTGATGTGACCGTGACACCGTCGAGCTTGGACTCCTGGTCCTCAGGAGCACGGTCTCCCTGAAAGGTCCCGCTGACCTCTCTGCCTTCTGTAGATCTTATCACGGTCACAGTGGTGGTTGTCATTCTGACCTTGAAACGAGGCATGCTCGGTGTGAACGGTGAAGCGGACAAAAGGGAAGCGGCTCGGTGTAGTAATGATGTCAGCCGGCAATGCTTGAATTTGTTCGAGACACTAGTGTGGAAGATCAGTGGGTTTGCTTTTTGCCTGCGACACAACAGTTTCCAAGGATACTTTTCACGACGCACAAAGGAGTGAGCAGACGTCTCCGGCAGCGGAGAGGGATGCTGCGTGCGAGAGACTCTTTGATATTAACTCCTCGACAGAGGTTGGTTCAAGTTGTCACCATCATTGAGCTGAAAATATTGAGATAGAAGTCGGAGAGAAAAAAACGACAGACCACCTAGCGCTCTAAACTTCCCCCTCCTCTCTGCTATTACACCAGCATCTGCTCCCTATGGGGTCTGTTGTCTGGGCAATAGCATGACCCTTGACACTGCTGCCTGCTGTTAAGGTTTTAACATTTGGGGGGGGGGGGGTTGGGATGTCTTGCCATCACTCCATCCCTCTTCGAGCCACCGAGGTGTGCTGTGTTTAATTTGTAATGAGCAGGTCTGCTACGCTGACCTCGCCGAGCGCCAGCATGCACTTCTCCTGACTTCACAGTGATGATGTGTGCCTGCGTGAGATAAAGTGCTGAAGTAGGAGAGACAGAAAGAGCCTTGCACTGGAGCCAGATCCCAGTGTGGGGACAGTTGATCCACCACTAATCCAAGCCACTCCAGAAGGGATGCTATTTGTACCAATGAAATGTTCAAACGGGAGAAAAACCTATACGTCCATGCCTTTAATTGTCCCAAATAGACTCCTGTTTGGATACACCTTAAGAGCTGTTGATGGTGCTTCATGCATTGTGAGCAGTTTTCATCCCTTGTCACATTATGAATGCATTAAAGCAGGCAGCTTGATGAACTGCATTTTTAAAGGCTTTTTGATCAACTCAAGAGGCTCTTGTCATAGTTCAGCAGCCATCAAAGGTAATCGAATGGTTATTAGCTGTTAGAGGACAGCATGGCATGACAGGAGAGGAGAGGGGGAGGGGAAGAAGGAAGAAGAAGTGGCATTCAGGGGCGAGCTCAGAAGTCTCCGCTTGTTCAATCTGCATCCTAATTGAACTGTTATTTAGGATTCTCATCTCAGCACGTTATTGATTTTTTTTTTTTTTCTCTCTCTCCAACCTCAACACTGGAATTGACCATTACACACTTTGCTCCACCCCCCCCCATCCCACACACACACACACACACCCATGTCACCTTTTGTCCTCCAGTTCCTTCAGTGTCACCGTTTTACACAATACTGCTGATTGGCCAAAACTGGCTGCTCTGTGAGTTTAATGCATCTTAATCACATTTAATCCTAATCCTCTCAGTGGACAACATGGAGCGTATGCAAGCATATGGTCAAACAAAGCAAATTCAGCAACTAGAACTCGACTCCCACAAAAGACAGAGGAAGGACAATGTAGAGACATGCACGGACAGAGGGAGGTGAACGTGTAAAGTGAATGATTAGTGAGTAATAGAGTTTCAAAGAGCAGTTCAGAGGCTTTTATGGTCCCTTTTCTTTTTCCATCTGCATCGCTCCCCCATCCTACTTTCTTTTTTTTTTAATTTTAAGTCGGTTAAGAGCCCCTTCCTTTCCTCTCCACAGTTGCATTACAAGGAGGACAGTCCTTAAGGAGAGAAGAAACATGATGACACTCAGGAGCAGTTTGTACTCCTCTCCAAACTGTGCTCCAGTTAACAAATCTCTTACATGTTGCAAGTTTGAAAATGTTTTATTGCAATTAAAAGGTCAAGCCTCAGATGCTTTGTAGGTAAGTGTCAAACTTGCAGAAGCTTTTAGTTTCCTTGCCTGCGGATGGTGACGTCTATACGGTACGTCCTGTCATCTGCAGGTCTGAACTGATGCTGCTGTCACTCTCGTTGGCTCTAGGGTGCATAGGTTGAGTTGTGCATCTTGTAACGAATATCCCAAGTTTCAATGCAGCTTTTGACTCTTTCTCTTGTACTTCCTCATGTTGATATTCCTGTGTTAGTGTTATACTGACAGTCTCTCTCTCTATTCTATCTCAGACCAGTCTCAAGAAGAGAGGTCGAACTCCATCGTGGTGGCCGGAGCCGTGATGGGCGCGGTCCTCGCTCTCTTCCTCATCGCTGTCTTCATCATCGTAATCCTCACCGCCCGCAAGGCCCCGCCGCCAGCTTTCACCGACAAAGTGTGAGTGTGACCGATAATTCATGCTGCAGAACATGTTCGTTGGTTAATTAATGACACGATACCTTTGCGAGGTTGACTGAAGCCCATCAGAGAGGGTTCAGGGAGTTGCTCCTTCCTCCCCGTGGCGAGAGCTGCAGCGGTGCACGCCCCGGAGCAGGCAGGCTGCGGGACAAGGTTGAGGGGTGGCAGATAATTGCCGTCCTGGCAGCAAGCCCTTGTCCTATTTCGTTCAGTCTGTTCCTACAGTGCACCGGTGCTCATGTCAATGTTAGATCCAAGAAGAATAACTTTGAGGTTGAATTATTTACAGAAGGAGCTGGCTCACACTCCGCCAGCGTCCCGTGACTGACATTTCATTTTGTGTGTCTTTGTTGTCTATGTTCTGCATAACCGTGATTACCGCTGCTTCTATTGCTTCCATCTTGCATTTACAGCAAGAGAACTGTACTTAATGTGTCCAATACTGCTGATCAACCAGCTACCCATTACATGCAAATCATTATTATGAACCTGTGGACCATATCTGCAAGGCTGCAGGTTGATCCCCCCCCGTCATCCATCCCTGTGTTGGTGTGTCATTGAGCATGCTCACTGCAGGGAAGCACAGCTACACTCATCGAGCACGTCTCAAGGAAGGAAGCTAACTGCTGAAATACATGTTACTCCTGAAGCATTTAACTCAATGTGCTGAATTCTAAATTTCAATTCTAGATGAGTCAATCGTGTATGAAAAAGGGGACGTAGACTGATTGGATATTCAAGTTGCAGCTTATAATTAGGAAGTACAGAGTGAAAAGTTGTAATCAAAAACATGGTCATACATGGATTATTATTGTTTCAGCTCAAATTAATTTGGATTACCAACCATGGCAACCTCATATTTTCTCTCCTCCTAAATAAAAGGAAAAGTCAACTTATCAATGGCATTTGCTTTGCCTTGCTTCTTTACTCCAAACATATTGTCCTCTGTAAAATTGTACATCCTAAGTTGAGTGGCAGCGTATACCCCTGACTGAGTTTCAACATGACTGATTACGTGACGGTGGTAATAGGCCACCTTCAGACACTGCTGACTGGCAGAAAACAGCATGAATTAAGGAGGAAAATCCTATGTGCATGGGGATGGGCCCTGCATCACCACACTGACACTGCAGGACGGTGCATCTTGCTGCGTGTTGGTTCTGTGGTCAATGCCACTACAAACTTAGCATCTTAAGTGTGACCGTGGCTGGAAGTCCCAGTGGGATGACGGGGGGGCGGGTGGACGCAGGCCTCGACCCTCTCCTTAATCACACACACACAGACGTGAGTGCAGGACGGCGTGTCACTGGACTGGAATCTCTTACCACTCCTCATCCCAATTATTAAAGAGAAGAGCAGTATCAAGTGAAATACAGTGTCAGAGAATCAATGCCTGTTATGACATCATTTATGAATGGCTGAGGTTAGTTTCTAGGTTTCAGTTTAGTAGTGGAGGGGGGGGATTTCAATAAATTAGAAAACTCCACACCTCCAGTTCGCTTCGCAGGCTCTGTGATATGAATTTGCAATTTCCAAGCCGAACCCATGATAACCCGGATGACCTCACTATTGCATCATCAGGGTTATTTGAGTCAAAAGGTGTCCCTTCAAGCAGCCCGTCTCTAAATGACTAATTTACTTAACTAGTTGTTGTATGCTGCTTCTTTTCTTCGCTTACTCTTTCAGGTGTCTGACCAGAAATAAAATCTCTCCTCACCGCGGTTTCTTTTTCTCTTTCTCTGAAGGATTGACCTTCCTCCGACACACAAGCCGCCTCCTCCCTACTCTGAGAGAGCTCCGGCCGTTCCCCTGGGTGTCCACGCATCACAAGTGGCCTGGCTCTGTCAGGTAAATCCCACCCAATTTACATAACCACTTTGAGATCATGTCAGTAAGTCTATATTTCATCTGAATCCATTATGTACTTATCACAAGATTAACGCTTGGTGAGCTGGTGATGCGTGCTGAGTCACAACAGGAAGTAATAACCTAGATACTGACTGTCATCATCCGAGTGTATTAAACAGGAGGCCTTAATGGCTGTGCTCATTTAATATGTAGGATGGTTTGAATCTTTAATTTGTGTGCTCAACTCAACCTTTCATTAGCTTGTACTTTTTCTAGTCTCACCCAGGAAGAAAACTTTTATGTGACTCTCTGATGCTCTGACGTGAGAAATCGCATGAGATGATAAAACTGTTTTGTGTCATTTACAATCAACAGACGCGCAGGGCGGACCGCAGGCACGAGCCGACTGACGGGCAGCGGCCAACCGCAACAAGGCCAGGACCACCGGCAGCACGAAGCCCCACCCAGCAGCTGTCCCGCCTGCAGTGGGTGTGTCATCAGAGTGGGACAGACCGGGTGTACATCAACCACCGCGAACACTACGTGTGACGGAAATACTGAACCCAGTCTCCGTGTGCACATGGCAGTCATTCACTCTGACTGAGGCTTCACCTGATTCACTGAGCCATCAATCCAGAGGAGGAAACAGCTGGCAGCATTAGAGGACAACATCTCTCACACATTACCTTTTTTATTTCATATCGTTAAATGTTATTTGTCTTTGAGGAGTAGTTTTAACATTTGTTTCAAATTTGGTTGGAGCCAGGCTAGTTGATTCCCTCTGCCTCTATGCTTTGTGCTAAACTAAGCAAACCGCCTTCTGGCTTTAGCTTCATATTTGCTGTACAGACAAGAGAGAGCTATTGATTTCTCAAAAAGTTGTTAGTTCTTTTTTTTTTTTTTTTCTTATTTCTGTTTGCAGATATCCTGTTTATTAGTGTTTGATATCACTCAGAATACCAAGATGATGCTTTAGAAATCACATCTGCTCTCTAATCAGCTTGTGCACCATATACTATACACGAGTAGGTAGAAAACATCTGAGGGTCACAGATATCCACTATATCCAAACACCGTTTCACCTTTTAATTTATTAGAGAGGGTACCACACAGTATAAATCAGAGACTCTATTCTCAGGCACACCACTGGACCAAACCACTGCAGATCCAACCTGCTTAGGTCCACTGAGACCAAATGTACTAACTGCAACACAGACCATGAAGGGATTCATTAAGGTATTTCTGTCCCAGTTGTGTTTTGCTGTTGTAGTGTTGTGACACAATGGTGTTTTTTTTTTGTTTTTTTTGTTTGTTTTTTTTGGGCCGCAGAAATAGTAGATTTGTAAATGTATAAATATAGCCTCTATGATAGTGTCATTATCTAGAGTCATAACCTCCTACTAATCAGGCAAACAATAATCTGAGATGTTACTGTATATACTGTGTGAAGTATTCAGAGCATCGGCAAGTGGTTTATGTACTTCATACTCCTGTAACAATTCTCAGACTTCTTTCTTAAGAACTAATTCTCTGAAGTGCCATATTGACATTCCTCTATACAGTATGCTGTAGGTTTTACATATCTTCAGTGTTGTGCTCTTTGATTGACATGATGCTGTAACAGTAGATTATAAATCATCATCTGTTGTCACTCAGACGAGCTAGATGAAGGTGTTCAACAGCCCCCTGAAAGCAAACGCACCGTGAGATGGAAGCTCTGAGTCACTCCGTGCAGAAACAAGAGAAGAGGTCCTTGAAGACTTGAGAGTTTGAATTGACGCGTGGAGGGTTTCTGAGGTAAATTCATCTCAAGGTCACAGTCACATTGAAGCCACTGACATTTTCACAACAGAGAGAAAAACTGTTTTTATTACCGGGGAACGAATGGTGTAGATGATGCAGTGTTTGTATTTGAGGGCATTGTGTTGACGGGGTTTAACATGGGTAACATGCCAGGATGCATCTACCTCAGATCAGTGGGTGATCAGTGGGTTGCTCCATCGTCTCCTCGTGAAGGGGCGCAGCTGACACTTTCAAGAGCAGCACCTAGTGGACAAACATGTCAGTGCAACGCCCGGTGGTGAGTGTGTTGCCTTCACCGAGTGTTTCTATATGAGGTCAATTTGACCCTTTGCTTCTCTCTGTCCATGAGAACGTCATTGTATAGGATTAAAAGTATAATGTAGTGTTGCTAGATTTTAGAGAGGTGGAGATATTAAGTCACAGATGGATACTACGCATTAATTAAGACGAGGAAAATGGAGGGTTATTTTTGTAAATCTAAAAATCAATCCACACTGATGGTCTATCACACCGGACTGCATGTTTAATGGGAAGCATAACTGTCAGCTAGCAGTTCAGAAATAATTCAGGAATGTTTGTTCTGTGTTGATTTAGACAAAATCTGTGTCCTGGGTGGCAGATTAACACACGTTATCATATTTGTCTCTTTAAATGAACCTCTGCTGTGTACTGTGAACATTTTAGTCTCCTGTTTATTTAGCTGTATGAACTTCAGTGGTTGGTTTGCCTGTTCTGTTTTACACAGAGCAATGGACCCTTTTCAAGAGGACATTTGACTTGTTACAGTAATAGCACAGGTATAAATAATACAATGATGGCTGGACTCAGTTACGCTGCTTTAGTTACAGGGCCCTGGTAGTGCATGTTGGCTCATTGTCACGCTGTCATGTCTTACTGGTACATTTGAACAGAACATCTTTAATGTAAGGGACACCTGTGCTTCTCCGACTAAAAGTCAAACATCTGCTGTTAAAAAAGGACTTTGACATTATTATTAATAAAGTTAATACGAGTAACGGATTTACCATGCAAATTCTTCTTTTAGTAAATAACCTTTTATTTGGGAGCAACATAATAGGAAATAACAATAAAAAATAACAAATATAGAAATAAGTCAATCTAAAAGAAAAGCTAAAAGTGACTACCATAACAGAAAAAAAGCAAAGCCCTGTCATGCCTCCCTTTAAACATCTTTCTAATTATGATCACACTTTTATGTTTTTCTTTTAATAACTGAGGTGTACTGAACCTTTTTTTTTTATTACATACTGAAATTACCAAAGCCCTCTTTGAAGGATGCTTCAACCTGGGCTTACAGTGTGAAATCACTTCAGTTCATTAAGACATGTTAGTATGAGTGCAGCTACATTTCAAGATCTGAAACACCGACCACTAGAGAGCACCACATGGTCACCAACATTAACCCGACACGCTAACGGCATTGAAATCACTGCTCAATATAAACTGGCTCAGGTTTGGCAGATGAAGCTGTACAGTTGTCAGAAAAGGATAAATAAAGGAATAGGTCACCCAAAATATAAGCTTTTGTCATTATCTACTCAACTTAATGTCAGTTAAAGCACGGGGGGAATTTTTAAATGACTGTCACATTGAGTGGGAATTTATCAAATATAATTATATAAGTTTGACTGTCCATATAACACACAGCAAGTTGACAAGTGCAACGCTCCATGTCAGGTAACAACTGAAGTGTCTGGAGTTACATTAACGGCAAAAACTTTGTCCAATTAACTCATGTAACTTATTTAAATATTAAAACTTTAACAATGAGAGAACTCTGTTTCCTTTAAGGTTTTACAACTTTTGACAAAAAAAGAAAAAAAAACAATCATGTTGCATTCCAGAGAAAATCTGATTTTGCTTCATGAGGTGTTTTGTGTAATTTTATGGAGATGTCTCAGTTATTTCTTTAGAAACAAACGACGACCACATTCTTGGTTGATTTGGAAAATGTTGACATGGAGTTGTGCCAGCGACCAGTTGTATTGACATGAAAACATGAGATCCTCGCTGGAAGCATTGAATTGTTATATTATGGACTGACAAATAATATCATAGCGGAAGTTCTTGAGTCAAATGCAATTTTCTTGATGCTGTAGGATTGATGAGTTTACCTTCAGGATGATAACATTTCCATTAAGTAACTGTCTTTTGTTTCCGTTGACCAAGTTTTAACCAGCAGTTCAAATATGAGCTCAAAAGTAAACTTGTCTTAACTGTAAAGTAAAAAAATATTTAAACTTTGTGCCATACATCAGTCCAATATCAGCTGGAGTTACTGCAGGATGGTTAAAGTTGCTCTCGCTTGTTAAGATTTGCTGCACTTAACTTTAATCATTAACCAAGAGCAGAGGGAAGTCACTGTTTGGACCTGATAAAATACAATGAGCATGAAGAGCAGAGGACAATGCACTCATTGTTTCTCATAAAAGGTGTAAGGTGTTGCTTCTTAAAAAGCTTTTGCTAATACTTCAATGTAGCAAGCGCTAAACCATTCATGTTAATTAATGGCAGGTGATGTTCACGTCAGATTTATTCTAGCCAGCTAACAATTTATGATGCTACATAATGAGAGCAGCAATTATGCTTCACTGCTTCGTTATGAATAATTCTTCAGCTTAACAGGAACATGGTGCTCGCTGTTGTGTAAAAATAGACATGTTATCAAAGGGAATATAAAACAGTGCTATTCTGGCCCTGCTTGGAGTAGATGACTGTGAACTGGTTGCATCCCACAGAAAGCATCTCGATAAATAAAATTCTTCTCCTCGTACATTTCCACTCCTTCTCCGTGAGTGAATGGTAGCTTTGTTTCAGCTGTCGGGATCAATTAAATCTTGCTCCCATAAACAAACATCATGGTGGAGAAAGGGAAATGAGCTGCCCCTCAAAGCGGCCCAACAGAGGATGTACCATTCCAACATTTTCCAAATTCCAAATTCTGAGTGCTTTCGACACGCGACCAACAAGTTACTTTGACTTGGCTTTCTGTTTCGATGCAGATGCGGATGCAGGCGTTGGTGCAGATGCGGGGGCATGGGCATGGGCAGGAGCGGGTTTCATTGAAGCATACAGACCAAGGCACCTGCAGCAAAACAGGAGCATCACAACAAAATGATGTTCATGTTGTGTTACCATGAGCACGTAAAGGAACAGTAGTTAAAGAGCAGGTTACTTACATGTTTTTGATTCTCTTAACAAAAGCTTTGACGGCTCTAACTATCCTCCTTATCCGCATCTGTTACCAAGATGACAAACGGGTCAGTGCATTTCTGTATCCAACTTCTATTTCTCAAGTCATTTTCAAAGTCATTATAATAATATTATATTGCTGGTTTATACTTTTTCCTGCTTGAAGTAGATGTTGCAGTTCAATGAAGGATTTTGATTGTAAGATTAAAAAAAAACAAGAAACGCTCACCTGCTGCTTTTTGTAAAACAGAGGAAGGGAGAAAACAGCGATCACAGCTGTAAAGACAAAGACAAAGGAGAAATGATTTCAGTACTACGGTACCGGTTTATTTTAATTTGTGAAGTACGTTTTTCCATTGAAATCTGTGGAGTGCAACATGTCTCTGTGTGGATGAGGTCAGGGTGAAAGGTTGGACACTCGATTTGACTTTGAAAGAGGAGACTTGGTCTCTCTCTTGTCAAAGTTGGTCTCTTTAAACCCTGTCCATGATCTTTCCCTTACTTTTACTGAGTAGCTTTTGTTTGCCTATCGACCTTAATCAGAGAGTTGGCAGATTAGAAAACACTCATGAGCCATTTATGAATGAATCAACTCACCAGTTATCACCAGAGTCAGTCCGCTGGTTAGGACTCCGACATAGGACAGCAGATACAGGAGCACAACAAACTGAGAGAACAGAGAAAAAAAGGGATTGTTAACTTAATGCAATAATACTGTGTCAACAAAGTAATCTATTGTACTATAGATCCCACTGAGAGTCAACAACCCCACTATGCCGCTCTGTGAAGCTGCATACGTGTCATACTCTGACCTTAATTGAGTCGATCATGCTCTCGATGAAAATCAGCCGTTTGATCTCTGTGAAGGCGAATGCGATCAGCAGCACCACCTCCTCCACCAGCATCACTGTCTCCTTATCTGTCAGAGAGCTGTCATGATCCAGATATGACCTGGAGAAAGAGACACATACACGGGCCCTGAAGAACACAAATTCTGAAGGGATACAAAACGAGGCCCTACGTTTAATCACAATGCAACACGATTATCGACTCGTGCAGCGCAGCAGCGTTCGGTGTGGGCTTGGAGTTGGAAAAACACACATGAAGTCTGAATCAACATCGACAGACTCACTGGAAGGGATGCACCCCGGGGTTCCAGCGCAGCAGCTCCAGCAGTTTATAGCAAAGACGGAGGATGAAGGTGACGGACATCACACCCAGACAGATGTGGGAGAACACGGTGATGGCGCTGAGCTGGAACAGACTGGCCAGACTGATCACCAGCCCCGTGAACACCACACCAGTCTTACTCATTTTGCGCCAATACACCAGATCCACAACTGCACAAGAAGACACACACACATGTTAGAAACAGTAAATGAGATGAATTACAATGAATGAATGATTGACACAGGGATGAAGTTTGTAGATCACTCACTAAGGCCTTGGTCGGTTAGATAAGGTACTTTATTTTTTGTAAATATAGAAATCAATGAGAAACATTTGTTTTTGGTTTTATTTTGGGGACACTTGTGTGATCATCTTAAGGTTTTATTTTGCATACCTGCCAATGAAGCAGTGTTTTCTTTGCTGCCTTATTTTTTTGACCGTCAAGCCATAATCACTACAACCAGTTGATAACTCGTCATTGTGGTATCACTTAGAAAGATGACAGAAGGGTGTAGAGAAGATTGCATTGGCTGTAAAGATGCCTGAGAGTAAGAGAGAGTTTTTTTGTGGCGCTGTATCTGCATGGTAGATAATATGTTCCTGTGGCTTTTAAAGAGGCTCAGACTTTGTTTCAGATAACTTCATATCAGTTTTCCAAAAAAAATTCTTTGAAAAGTGACACCAATTTGAAAAAGCGGTGAGTGTGTGTGACTCTAACTACTGATTCAAGCGACCCAGATCCTCTTCAGTCTTCCTCTGTTTATTACAATAAACATCTGCTGGTGTTGACAGAAACGTGACACACATCTCTCGCTCTGTGCCGGAGACGTTTTCGTTAAATGAGAGGCAAAATGGACAGTTATTTAAAAACATAGATGTTGAGTTTTTTAAGAACAGTAAGTGAGTCAATAAATATGCCAGCTATCTATACATGGATACAACAGATGTTGTCTATTGGTCGTATCTAGAAGTTCTATTCAGCACAATTTTCTTTTTATCTTTACAGTGTTAGCATACTGTTCATTTGGACAAATTCAGGCCTCGTATTCAGATCAAGGACATCCTAAGAAGTAGAATATTATTACTCATTTCTATCCTTGACAAAAAAAAGACAATATTTCAGGAAAAAGATGCATCTGCATGATAGTGTGATAATGCATATCAATAATAAGATGCGATAATTATACTATGAGTCACAGGATGACAGATCTTCAAACACCAAAACATTCATTTAGCCTCCTAACGCCAGTGTTAATCTCAAGGTCATTTTCTGAATAAAACAAACACTTAAACATGCAAACACTAACAGTTTGTATCTCAAAAGACAATTTACAAGTAACTGACTCATGCATACACGCATACACACAAACACACAAACGCACACACACTCACACACACACACACACACATTAAACCAGCAACCCATTTTCATAACCAGGTTTCTACCGAAATATATCGGTGAAGTTATTTCAGATTTTCTTTTTTATTGGTAAATTTGGACAGGAAGCTGTTGAGGCAGAAACAGAGACACTTATACTTATGCCGTCATTTTGCAAGCATGGCATAACCTCAATCTGATCCTAAAAAAAGTAAAATATAATCTAAAAAATAGCCTTAGAAGAAAAAATATATCTTGTATAACTTCTAAATCTTCTATTCGTATGGGGCAATGTGGACCTTTAAGAATGAAACAAACAAACAAACAACAGTCAATCAGCAGTAGGGTCTCATTTAGTCGAGTCCCATCTGTCCACCAAATGAAAGACATGTCTCAGTATTTGACTGGTCATCCTGTCTGTATTCACACCTGCCCAGCAGAGGGGAAAAAATAAATTCTCTTTTCCTCCTCCGTCTGACAGCTGGACTCTGACCTCTAAATCACTTTACTTTAAGCTGTCACCATTTATTTTCTTACGTTTGGTGGCCATTTCAGCGACGATCCAGCTTGCTTTCCTCCCTTCCTTGTGCTTCCACTGTTGGCTCGCACTCCAGGCTTTTTTTGGCCACCCCAGCTCCGTCAGCAATATAAGGGCCGGCTGCCTAATTTTATCCTGTATTGGATACCCCTGTTTGGATTCTCTCTCCCTCTCTCTCTCTCTCTCTCTCTCTCTCTCTCTCTCTCTCTCTCTCTCACACACATACGCACACACACACACTCAAATTGGGAACCTGAGACATCAGCATGCGAGTCCCTTAGCAGGGGCGGAATTTTGATTTCAGAACTGTGTTTGTGTGTATGGTGGTGGTCGAATTATTCTACTCAAAATAATGAGGATAATATTTTGTAAATATAAATATATATATATATATATAAATAAATATATACATATATATATATATAAATAAATATATACGTATATATATATAAATA